ATGGCACTCTCACTAAAAATTCTTCAACTGGTTTGCATTGAGTTCAGAAGATAAGAATCTTTACCACAGCCTCTAACATCCTGCCTGGTAGACCTTTACTTAGCTGCTTCCCCCACCTCCAGTCTTGCTACCCTAAACTTGCAATCCTCCTGCCTCAGCCTCCTGAGTTGCTGGGATTAAAGGTGTGTACCACCTTGCTCAGCAGGATAACTTAGCCTGTAAGCCATGAAATATCACATTGTCTCTTTCTTTTTTAAAAAAATATTTATTTTTTTTAGTTGTAGTTGGACACAATATCTTTTATTTTATTTTTATGTGGAGCTGAGGATCAAACTCAGGGTCTTGTACATGCTAGGTGAGCACTCCACTGCTGAGCCACAATCCCAGCCCTGTCTCTTTCTTTTGATCCCTGGGATTCTGCTGGTTCCATCATGATGTCTATATGCTCTTTTCAGCATAATCCCACATCTGCCCCTAATTTACTCTCAGGCACTTTTAAATCCTGATGGGAAGCATCTATTCTAAGGACTATTTCTGACACCCCGTATTGGGTTAAGTCCCACATCTTTTGTGTCCTTATGGCAGTACATATCATCCTTAGTAATACCTGGTATATTATGAAGTTACTTCTGTGAGATTGATCCCCTTATCAGAAAGTCTCTTGAGAGAAAGAATCCCACTCTTTTTTCTTCCCATTGTATCCCTAACATTTAGGAAGTGTCTGGTACACAATAAGAGCTTATTAAAAAAAAAAATATATTTTGAAAACACAGATACCAAGGATTCAGGGCATGAAGGGAAGACAGAGGACACAGAAGGTGGCTAAACTGCAAGCCAAGGAGAGAGGCCTCAGGAGAAACCAATCCTACAACACCTTGATCTCCGATTTCTGTCAGAAAGAAATTTCTGTTTAGGAAAACAAAACAAAACTTGGGAATTCTACCTCCTTAAGGCAGAAATCCTATTTTGTCCCCATGTTTCTAGTGCCTAACGAGGTGCCAGTATACAGCAAATGAATAATAGTTTGCTATAAATGAGCCATAATATAAAGGATGTTTTATTACTCATTTATAAGTATATAATGCAGAGGAGCCCTCACTTGATTATCTCTGATGAAGCATGCATACATAATTGATACCTAAAATATAAATTCTCCCCTCTCATCAACCTACTGCCAAGACCAAAGAAAGTAATTTACACCTTTTTTTTCCCCTGCTCTGAGTGAAGAGTGAGCTGCCCTGGCTAGGATAATCCACGCAGAGCCAGAATTAGCTGCAAGTGAGATTCTGAATCCTAACCCAACAGATTATTCTCATTTGAATAGTTAGGTGTTTAGAAATATTTTTCTCCCAGTCAAATGAGGAGTTTTCTTTTTCCTTTAAAAAATTTTAATAAGAATCTCTTTGAAAATATTTCAGTGGTCAGAGATTGTACTAAAATACATACATACACAGTTGTATAAATGGATTTAGGTCAGGGTGATATGAAACAGTAAGCCTTACAAATCAATCACTTTCAATTGTGTTGTCCCACAGAATTTTCAAATAAACTTGTAATTTGAGTTGAGCACCTTAGCAAACTTATTAACTATTAATATTTGCTAATTAAGAAATAGGAGAAGAACCAAATCAAATAATAAAAGAGTTGTTTCCAAAATGGTAACCTTTTGATGTTATGAAACATAAAAAGAAACTAAACACCTGAAGAAGATAATAAGATGTCAGTTTCCTAAGTTTTAATTTGGAAGGCTGAGGTAGGAGAAATAAAAATTCAACACCATTCTCAGCAACTTAGAGAGACTGTCTCAAAATAAAAAAAAGGGTTGGGAATGTAACTCAGTGATAGAGTGCTCCTGGGTTCAGTCTCCAATACAGCAAGAAGACAAAACAAATACAACAACCACCAAATGCCCAGATCATTATAGTTATGTAAGATGGTACCAACAGGGACGATTGGGTGAATGGTACATATAAGAAAAAAAAAAAAAGAGAGATGACAGCAAGAGAAAATAGTAAATACAGACAGGAAATTTTAGAAAGAGAACTTACACATAGTGTAAGGCAGTTATATTGCCAAGTTCAGACAGCCTTTTAAGGAGCTATCCAAAATTAATAAGTGCTCCCAACACATTAACATACATGTATACACAGACACATAAAATTATAATTGCAAAAGTAGCAACCTATTTAAAATTTTTTTTTTAGTTGTTAGTGGACCTTTATTTTATTCATTTATTTATACGCAGGGCAGAGAATCAAAACCATTGTCTCACACATGTGTGGCAAGCTCTGTACCACTGAGCCACAACCCCAGCCCCTGGCAGCCTATTTTTAATGTTTAAACCAAAGTTTCCAAAGATGTCTAGAGAGACAAAATTTTGTTTGTGAAAGACAATTTTGTGAAAACTACAACAATGATTATTTGCTCTTAAGAAAGGAAACATTTATTGCCATCAAAGAAAAATATAAAAGATTGGTTATAAAGGAAGAAAAATATACAGATTCTACCACTTCATTCCCAGAACTACATAGACACTTTCAAAAATTTCCTTTATCTATTAATAAGTCCTCAGAGAAGCCAGCCCATACACTCCTGGGGGTATACACATCTCAGACTATTCTATAAAGATCTGAGAGCACATATTTTTTGGTGAAATAGTTAACACGAAGGGAGAGACTGACTGCCCATGATATAATTCAGAGTTATACATTTAGTCAGAATCCCCTTGCAATGACAAAATGTTAGTGTCACACTTTACAGCATTCTTGGCAGCACTCAAATCATATATGACACGATGAACTCTTACAACAAGTGGAACGGTTTTCATTTTCTTGTTGCCAAACAGACAGTAAATTGTGATGGAGAAGTAAAAACACAGAGAAGTTCCTCCATAACACTCTACCTTAAAGTACATTTTCATAGTAAAAACCCCAAAACCAATATAGAATTCTGCTTGGCTGGACACTTATCTTTCCCTTTTAACTATTAAAAATAAGCCAGGTCTGGTGGCCTGTAGTCCCAGGTACTCAGAAGACAGAAATGATAGATCCCAGGAATTCGGGGCTAATCTAAACAACAGAGCAAGATCCTTTTTTGAAACAAACAAACAAACAATTAAAGCAGCAAAGCAGTATGAAGAAAGGGGGAAATTAGGGCAAGGAAAACCTGAGCTCAAAACCTGAGCTCAAATTCTGGCTTTTCCAGATATTAGTTTTGTTACCTTAGGGAAGTCACAATGTCTCTGAACCTCAATGTCTTTGTTACTAAAATGGATATAATAATACCTATATCTCAAGGTTAGTCATAGTACTGGAGAAGATATTTAAGCAACTTACACAATTCTGTGTAAGAAGTGTATACTCAATAAGTTTAGCTCCCTCAGTTTTTCCAAAATGACACTGCAAAATATTTAGTTTGTCATGAGTCAAAATAATTGGCTAAGCAGTAAAATGAAAAGGGCAAGAGAATCTAACTCTAATATTATTCAATCTTTCCATTAATCATGCAGTTCATATTTGGATTTATGGGTATTATTTTGGAACCACATTAATATTTGATTAGATTCTCTTCCTTGCAAGTAGGGTTTTTATTTTGTCTTCAACTGATTTAACAAAAGATGACATGTCATTAATCCTTTTATTCAGATAACAGTACAGCCTGTTACAGAGAGCAGGTAAAAATCAGTTTTCATGTTTACTCGAGTCCAATAAAAAGAATGACATGGAACGGAATCAGCCAAAGGATATAGAATTTGTTTCCCAAGGCTGTTGGATGTATTTTTCTGTGTCTCTTGAACCTCCAATATTAGTGTCATAGTGGCAGCACCCAAGAACTCTAAGGGTGCGCAAGCTTTCTAATTGCAGAGGGTTTTGTTTTGGAGGGCGGGTACTGGGATTGAACTCAAGGGCACTTAACCACTAAACATCCCCAGCCCTTTTTAATATATAGAAATGGGTCTCACTGAATCGCTTAGGGCCTCACTAAATTGCTGAAGTTGGCTTTGAACTTGTGATCCTATTGCCTCAGTCTCCCAGCTGCTGGGATTACAGGAGTGCGCCACGCACGGGCTACAATTAGGATCTTCACATGGAATTTTTGAGCTTATTCGGAGAGTTCTGGAACCTGCAGTCCTTATATATGTTATGTGTATGTGCATTTCCTGCCTTTTTCATCAGGAGGCTGCTAAACTATCACTTCCTCACAGAGGATCTTCTCTAGCCATCTTCTCCAGCCAGAGGCCTTGCCCATAAAATCTTTCTCATCACAGTTTCTTGCAGAGTCGTATTTACAAGCTGTCATTACCTGGTTTATCTGCATCAGTGTATCTATCTCACTAGAAAGCAAGATTCCCAAGAGCAGAACCTGGCCTTTCCCAGTGCTTTCGACCTGGTGTGCCTCGACAGATACAGATATTTCTGGAATGAATGACTGACAGGTCCGCGTCTGTCAGATTTTATTTTATTTTTTCCACCTGAATACTGGGTCTTGTTGATTCCCAAGCCGGCCTGAAATTCACAGGCTCCGGGACTACAGGTGCGCACCATCGCGTCCGGTTATCTGATTTTTAACAGACTCTAAACTCTTCCTTTCACCTCACTCCGCCAAGCATTCTTCTCTAGAAATCATTTTAAAATAATGCAATTCAACTTTGTAAATATGGCTTGCAGCGTTTCAACCACGCCCATCCGCACTCTCTGGCTTCCTACAGCCAGAGCGCCACTCCCGCCCACTTACCCAAGCCCACAAAGTCGGGCGGTTTAGAGGCGACCCCGGCAGGTGCAACCGTGAGCCAGCACACGTATCAGTTCGCATATCAGTCAGTCCCTGTCCGGGGTCAGGGATACGCCTGCCTCGAAGAGCCCTGGGCCTCCGCCCCACCGGTGGCTCAGGCCCCGCCTTACCGGAGGCCGCGCTCCCCGCCCTTCCTTCTTCCCTCCCGCGCCACCCCAGCGGCTCGCGGTGGCGGAGTGGGGAAGCAGGCACACTGCTGCCTGGGACATCTCTACCGCCAGCCTCGGGTACTTGGCTCGCCAAGGCTTAGTCCGGCCGCAGCGCGCGGCGCTCGCGGGCCGTCCTGGCCACAACTACTTCCGGGTGAGCGGGTCGGTGACCCCGTGGCCCCGCCCCTCCTTGGCCGCCTCCGCCTGCCGCCGGGGCTGCGGCTCATCCCGGGGCCGGTTCCCGCTGTCTCAGCCGCCGCGCTGAGGGCGCACCAGCTTGATAGATCGGCCGCCGGTGCTGGGAGCCACCGCTTTCAGCTCGGCCCTCTTGGCTGGGAACCCGGGACCGACTCTGGCCGCAGCGCCTCTCGCCCTTCGTCGCTGTGCCGGGCGGGTGCCGGGCCGGCCAGCTGCGCTCCGGCCCTTCCCGGGCGGCTCCTCAGCCACAGCCCGCCCAAGAGGCAGGTAAGGGCCGCTCCTCCCGCCCGCTCAGTGTGAGCAGGGAGCTGGGAGGCCCCTCTTCCCGGCCTCCGCAGCCCAGAGGATCCGCGCCGCCGCCGACCCCTGTAGGGGGCCGGGCTACCCTGGGACTGCCCAGCTCCTGGGCCCGGTCGCCGCTTGACTGCCGAGATCTCGGGCATCTTCTGTCGCGCACCCTCCCTCCGCGGGGAGGGAAGGTGTTATTCCAGTTGTGGTAGAAATTAAATTGGACGGCTGCTCCCCTGACACGGGTGTCCGCGGCTCCTTCTGTTCCCGACGTCACACTCAGGGTTTCGGTCCCGGGAGAAGCACTCCCGGGAACGGTGTCAGGCCGATGGACGGTGTAGCATTTTTATGGAATTTTTTTTCTCTTTGCTCCTTTGACCTGAACTGAAGCGCGGGCTAACAGGAGCTAGCTAGGTGGGTCAGGGTTAATGCTTGACTAATATGGGGCATTATTCACACCCAGATTGTTGAGTTATACAGTTGCAGTCAGTCCTGGCTTCCTTTTTCTGTGGATATCCAGCCAGAAGAAGCCCCCTTCCTTTTCTTGGGGAGAAAAAGATTCAAGTGTTTGCAGTATTTTTTATACCGTGGGAGTTAAAAATATCAGCTTTCTGAGACACGGCTGGGGGGAAGCTGTAGCCTAAATTTTAATTGTTTATAGCTTGTTTTCTTTTAATGACTCAGCATTTCTGCCACAAACAGAAAAACTGTAATTTAATTGACTAAAAGGATGACAGAATTGCTGTTAATTTTTATGTTATCACATTGAGAAGAGAATGTGGATGCAGTAGTGGAACTGAGAGATGGAGAGGAGGGTAGGGATGAGTAAGTTCTTAATCAGTGTTTAAAGAAATATTTTTTCAAAATAATACTTTATTCGGTGATAATCTATATGAAAAGGTGCAGTTGTTGGAGAGTGCAAAATGTTGCAGGTAAAGTTAGTGGGCAGGAACTTCAAGTATGCCACGGTTTGAAATTCTTGAAGTAAAACCCCGTTTCACCAATGTCATGCTCTGTTTAAAAAATAGAGACGATGACCTACTATATTTGTATAGAATAAGAATTTTGGAAAGTGTGATTCATATAGGAAGTTAGATCACTCACCTTGTGAATCACTGATATGGATCTTAACAGTGAAATAGAGGAAAACTAAGTTTGTTTCTGCTTGTTTAATTAGATGCCTTTACTTATTTTATAGGAAGTGTTAGGTTTGTTGCTGAATCGTTTTTGTCATAAAGTATGCTAAGAAAATGACAATTGAAATTTTGCAAAATGCTTTAATTACTAAGTGGATTGTTGTGATTTTGCCCCATTTTTTTTTTTCTTTTTGGACTAGATGTGGCAAGATAAATGAAGGGGTGTAGAAGCAAAATAAATGACCCTGGCAAGGAGAACTACCATCACTAAGGTATGAAAAAGTTCACTGAAAGAATTTGCATTATACAAAATAGTCTTTTGAGTGGAATGCCTTACCCATTTTGCCATTCTATCCTTAACAGAATGAGACTATACTGTTAATAAGTTTTGTTATAGAAGAAAGTGTGTATTGAATTTGTGATTTATTTTTGGAATGGATTGATATTAAACTAGAAATAACTTTTTATTGCTGAAATGTAATTTGATCATTTTTGGCTTTCAAAATGTTGTTAAGCAAAATAACTTTGAATTACAGAGGTCTTGATACTTTTAACCATGTTTTTCTTTTCCTTTTTTTGGGAGAGGGGGATTCAGCTTGTTTTATTTTTCACTCATGAAGACCTTCAATTAGTTATTTTTTTTAAAGTAATACCAAACTTATCCATTTGGTCTTACTTACAAAATTTCTTTAATTCTTTGACTAAAATTTGGCATCCTTTTTTACCTTTATGTATTTTTTGGGGGGGGATTTTAATATTTATTTATTTTTAGTTTTCGGCGGACACAACATCTTTGTTTTGTATGTGGTGCTGAGGATCAAACCCAGGCCGCTCGCATGCCAGGCCAGCGCGCTACCCCTTGAGCCACATCCCCAGCCCCCCTTTATGTATTCTTATTTTCAGTATTCTCTAATGTTGCTTTTGATTTTTGTCCAGCTGAAAGTGACTTAAGAGTTTCAGTTCCTTGCGAATAGAGATTCCCTTTTGGAAAATCCCTTGTGGGAACCACCATAACTGACAGCCTTAGTGGGCAAATATGCAAGTGAAATCTTCTTAGGTCAAAATTTAAGCATCTCAATAATGAAGGAAAAAAAGAGATATGCAAAATATATTTGGCAATGTATCTCTTAAAAACAAATTTTTACTAGAAATGAATTTAGCAAGAGGGAGGGAGCACTTTCTTGCAAAGCTCTATGAATTGTTTATCCTGGTCCTAGTGTAAAGAACATAGTTCATGGTGTAGAGGGAAAAAAATTCTTCTTGCAATGTGCTGGGAATGTTGATGAGGATCATTGAGAAGGAAGTAACTTAGGAGCACTATCTATTGCACCTACAAAATAGAAACCATTTCATAGCCTTTTCCTTTTAGGTAGTCACTTTCTCTCTGGAGAATCTGAATAGAGAGATGATTCCATAACTAAAAAAAATGTAATATACTTTTCCAGTTTGCAAATAAAGATTAGGTTCTATGACCATTTTTCAAAACTGAGCTTTTAAAACTTTGAAAGGAAGGAATTGAGCAAAATTTACCTTGTGAGTAATCTACTTCATTCTTTTCTCCATTTTCCCTTCTAAGATAATAGATAGGATATCTTTGGAAGTGATTTTTTTTTTTTTTTTTTTAGTGTTGCACTTTGCACTTCCACTTTTAAAAACTTGAAATAAATTAGGCTAGGCTTAAAAGGAATGTGATACTGGGTTTATTGTATGCTATACTCTTTCATTTGTTCTATTATTTTTGATTTTGGTGGTGTTAGGGGAACCAAGAGAATTCTAGTTCTTGGATAGTCTCTGATACTTGCTACATATGTATACATTTGTTTTACTCTAGTGATACACAAAGCAATAGGTAAAAGTAGAGATGGTTAGGAAGAGGGAAAAAATGGCATATATAGGATAATGCTGATTTCATGGGTTTAGTAGAATTTGTGGGATTTTTAAAAATTGATAAAATATTTAAAAAGAAAATGTAAGTTTCCTTTCTGCCCCAAACTCCTAGGTTTTCTTTACCCCTACCTCCTAATCCAAGCAAGCACTGCTAATGGTTACTGTGTATCTTCTCAAAATTTTTTATTATATATACACAAGCATACATTTAGTAGAAATATCCTGTACCTTTCATTCTAACCCTTGATGTATCTTGGAACCCACCCATACATATATATTTATATGATGAATGTATATATTCACCTCATTTTTTCTAAAGATTGATGTCCTGCTTAGTGTAGATGAATCCTAATTTATTCATTTTCCATAATTTACCATTCCCTACTAACAGACATTTAGATTGTTTTTAGACTACTACAAGCACTACTATAATGAAAAACTTGTAAAACAAGTCTTGGCTCTAGTTTATAAGTACGTATATATAGTGTATGTTTGAATGTATGACTGGGAGTTTGGGACTTAAGTTGTAAAAATTTTAAAATTTATTTAAATCCTATATTAGACTATATAGGTTTGTAGAAGAAAAGACTTCTTAATTACTTTGTATTCTCTACCCATTTTTTCATTAAAAAAATATTGCAAATGTATTTTATAAGGTGATTTAAGACATATTAGAGTATCAGATGCTTAATTTCATTTGTTTCAATTAGAAACAAGGTAGTTTGAAGACTGGTGTTTTCACATACAAACCATTTATATTTGGTAATAGTTAAGTGGCTACATCTTCTTCAGTTGTTTCAGAATTTTGTATTTTATGTCAATTAATAACATTGTATATATGCTGGACTTAATGCTGGGCTTGATAGCCCAAGCCTATAATCTGAGCCACTCTGGTAGCTGAGGCAGGAGGCTTGCAAGTTCAAGGCCAGTCTTAACAATTTAGGAAGACCCTGTCTCAAAACAAAATTTAAAATGGACTGGGAATGTAGTTCAGTAGTAGACCGCCCCTGGGTTCAAACACCAGTACTGAAAAAAAAAAAGTATATAGTCTATTTAATTTTTTGTACTGTTGAAGTCTGCTAATATTAATAGTTAATAATTATAATTATTAACAGTTAATATTAATAGTTAATAATTATAATTAATAATTATAATAGTTAATAATAAATAATAATAATATTAATAGAGAAATAAATAGTCTGTCTTCTTCCTTTTCATTCTGCATCCTAATCTGTTTGTAATAAAAATACAAATAGATTCTGTGGAAGCTGGGCTCAGTGGCACATTGCCTGTAATCCCAGCAGCTTGGGAGGCTGAGGCAGGAGGATCACAAGTTCAAAGCCAATCTCAGCTAAGTGAGGTGCTCAACCACTCAGTGAGATCCTGTCTCTAAATAAAATACAAAATAGGGATGGGGAGATGTCTCAGTGGTTGAGTGCCCCTGAATTCAATCCCCAGTATCAAAAAAAACCAAACCAAACCAAAACAAACAAAAAAACCAACCTCTTTGGAGCTTGAGATCTGAAAAATCTCTTTGTAATTCATAGTGTTTTTGATGGATTGATTTTTCACGGCAGGAAGAAGGTACAGATTCTTTTGTTGTGATGGTGCTGGGAGTTGAACCTGGGGCTTCACACATGCTAGGCAAGTGTTCTACTACTGAGCTGCATCCCCAGACCTCCAGATTCAGTTTTTATTCTGCAAAGCGTTTGTAAGCAGAATAAGGGAGGTCCAGTTTTTAAATTTTGATTAACATAAAAGTTCACTAATGGCCAGGAGGAGGTTCAAGATCCTTTGTCCTCTTAAATGAGAGAGACTAGAGAAAAAAAGTTAAGTGCTGAGAAGTTCAAGTATGATGAAGTTGGAACTGTGAGTGGCAGTTTCCCTGGCTGGTGCCCGGGATCTATTTTGAGGCCTTGTCAAAGCTCATCTGACAGAACCTACCACATAACTGTAATCTGGCCTGGTCCTGCTGCAAGTCAGGAAGGCTTGTGGTTTAGGAAAAGTGGCAACCACAAAAGAGGGGATTATAAAGAACATTTGTCTTCATAAGATTAAGGCTCTTTTGGGGCTGGAAATCTGCTTAGGGTGTATCCCAGGATCTAGGTTTTTGGCTATTTTATTTATTTATTGTTTTGGAAAGAGGATGATTAGGGAAAACTGAGCAAGTTTTTATAAAGAGATGTACAAGGAGAGCAAAGAATTGTCACAGCACTGATGTTATATTCTAGTTATTTGAGAGTGTTTGCCAGGGATCAGTGGAATGTTTTACAAGGGAAAAATCATTACTCTTACTGACTCAGGGAGGCCATACCATAATTTGAAATAGCATTCCAATTCAGACACCTTCACACTTGTCACTGGGATCACAAATGTGAACTCTTGGACTTTTGGAATGATAGATTGTTTTACAGGATTATTTTGAGTTCAGATAAATTAGCTTCTTCTCAAATTCTCATTCTGTTTTTTCCACAAAAGTATAGAGTACCATGTAGTTTTTGCTTTAAACTCTTAGTTGTTACCAGATGCTGTCTCCTAGCATAGTTGTGTCCCTGGGTCATGTGGTGCCTCATGAAAACCTTGATGTTTTCTATATTTAGTGAATGAAACACTTGAGTTTATAGTTCTTTAGCTATGTCACTTCTTAAACTAGAAAGCTGTTAAGGAACTTAGTGTTCCACCCTTTGACCAAGGTTCACATTAGTGTATTTAACTGCTATATTACAGTCAAAGTTGTTTGAAGAATTCAGCATGCAGACTTAATTTATAGACACAAGCCTGCAGATGGTTTCCCTTTCTTTTGTTTAAGATTAGGTTGTGGCTCCAGGAAATATAGTTTCTCCTTGTCCTCAAAAATTGGTATTGTAGCATTTTATGATGGTGGTATATTTAGGATTCATTGTGAGCAGAAAAAATAAAATAGTAGTGTTTTTCATTTCTTCCTTAATGCTATTATTTGGTTTATTCCTATTATTCTTTCCCTGTCTCAGCTTTTCCCTCCTAGAAGAAGAAGTTAAGCAGTTGGGAAAAGCCTTAGGGTACATATCAAAGTGTTTTTATTTTTTCAGAGGTAGAATATTATCCACCTCCCACCCTACCCCAATTAAAGAATCATAGTTCAGCTTTTTCTGTTGTTTTCACTTTGAAACCTATATATACCTTTATTATGCACATCAGAATTTTAACTAGTTTTTATATATTTTTACTGCTTTAGGAAATACATTTAATTTTTTAAATTGCTCTGAACACTTTGTTATTTTTTCTACAGTCCCACTTTTCAAGTAGAAACATTTTAACAGCTTGGAGCAATCTTGAATATTTTAAAGTTAAAGAGTATACTTTCTGCAGAGGCACACTTACTTTCCTATGAATGGTTTAAATCATCTATGTCTGATAACAAACAATAGCAAGCATATGTGTCGTAGCTATTTTTTTTTTTAATTAAGTATTTGGTCTAAGTGATTCAAGCATTATAGGACTAAAGATAGAAAAAATTTAAGTTTTAGATGTGTTTTTTTTTCTTGTCATGAATAATGATATCTATATTTATCTATCTTTTTATCTATATATCTGTCTGTCTATTTATCTGTCTAGTCATTGCCCTCCTGGTCTTGCCAATTTCATTTTTTGTGATCTACAAGTTTGTTTTGTTTTTTGGTACTAGAGATTGCACCCAGGGGTGCTCTACCACTGAGCTACATCCTCAGCCATTTTTATGTTGTATTTTGAGACAGGGTCTTTTTGAGTTGCTGTTGGAATCACTTAGTTGCTGAGGCTGTCCTTGGATTTTTGATCTTCCTGCTTCAGCCTCCTGGGTTGCTGGAATCATGGGCATGTACCACCATTCCCAGTGACTTTTTTTTTTTTTTTAACTTTTAAACATTTTTTGCTCCCTTCTGGCACAAGTAAAGCTTTACCTTGCCCCAAAACAAAAAACAAAAACAAAAACATTTTTTGCATTACTGGGGATTGAACTCAGAGCTTTATATTTGCTAGACAAGCATGCTACCACAGAGCTACATCCCCAACCTTTATTTTAAAAAATTTTAAAAAAATGTTTATGGTTATTTTTATTTTTTAAATTTTTAAATTTTTATTAGAGTATTATAATTATAGTTGGATTCATTTTGACAAAATCATACTTGCAAGGAATTTGATTTCAGTCACTGTCCCCTTTTACCCTCTTCCCCTCTTTTTCTTCCTCTTCTATCTACTGATCTTCCATTTATTTATTTATTTATTTATTTATTTATTTATTTATTTATTTATTTATGGTACTGGGGATTGAACCCAGGGGCACTTAACCCCTGAGTCACATCCCCAGCCCTTATTTATATTTTAGAAATAGGATCTCATTGAGTTACTCAGGGCTTCGATAATTTGCTGAGACTGGCTTTGAACTCGAAATCCTCCTGCCTCAGCCTCCTGAGCTGTTGGGATTACAGATGTGCATCACCACACCCGGCTCCTTTATTTATCTTTCATTGGTACTTCCTACATATACATAAAGGTGAAATTCCTTTTGGCACATTTATATATTATATAACATGATTTTTATTAAATTCATTTCATATTTCTTCCCCTTTTCCTTCCTTCCTCCCTCCCTCCTCCTCATTCTCCTACTCCACCACTTTTACATATTCATGATACAATCCCCACTCCCCCACCCCCCTACAGCCTTCTTTCCCTTTTTCTGCTCCAGTTTCCATGTATGAGATACCTGCACATTGAAAACATGAAATATGGTGGAATGAAATTAAAGAAGACCTAAATAATTGGAAAGAATCCTATTTTTATGAATTGGAGTCTTAATATTATTAAGATGGCAGTTGTCTTCATTTTGGTCTATTGATTCAGTGTAACTGCTTTGTAATCCTGATTACCTTCTTTTTTTCTTTTTCAACCATTTACCCCCGCAAATAAAATGACAAACTGATTCAAAATTTATATGGAAATGTAAGGGATCCAAAATAATCAGTCAGTCTTAAACAAGAAAAAATTGAGGACTTCTTTTTCCAATTTTAAAACTTATTGCAAAGCCACAGTAATCAAGATGATGTGATATGGCATAAAAATACACATACAGATTAATAAAATAAAAATTGGTGTCTAAGCCAGGCACAGTAATGCATAATCCCAGTGGTTTGGGAGGCTGAGACAGGAGGATTCTGAGTTCAAAGCCAGCCTCAGCAACTTAGTTAGACCTTGTCTGTAAATAAAATACAAAAAAGGGCTGTGGATATGGCTCAGTGGTTAAGTGACCTGAGTACAAAACTGGTACACACACACAAAAAAGATGTCTACAAATAAAAAATATCCGCCCCCCCCCCTTTTTTTTTTAAAGTACTGGGGTTTGAACCAAGGGGTACTCTACCACTGAGCTGTATCCCAACCCTTTTCTTTATTTTGTATTTTGACACAGGATGCCTCTAAGTTGCTGGTCCTAAATTTGTGCTTCTACTGCCTGAGCCTCCTGAGTAGCTGGAATTATAGGTGTGTGCCATTCTGCTGAATTATAAGCCCTTACTTCTCTGGTCAGCTGATTTTTCCATAAGGGTGGCAGGACAAGGTGGGCATGTGGTGCATACCTATAATCCCAATTACTTGTGGCTGAGGCAGGAAAAACTGTAAATTCAAGGCCAGCCTAGGTAACTTATGGAGACTCTGTCTCAAAATGAAAAATAGAAAGGGCTGGATTTAGCTCAGGGGTACAGTGCCCCTGGGTTCAGTCTCCAGTATTGTCAAAAAAGATGGCAAGACAATTCAATAGGGCAAGAATAAAGTCTTCAAAAAATAGTGCCAGGATAAGTACATGTTCACATGTAGAAATATGAAGTTGGATCCCTGACTCACACCATAATACCAAAGTTAACTGAAAATGGATCATAGACTTAAATATACATGGCAAAACTGTAAAAATGGGTCTGTTTAATAATGATAATTATGATAGAGTTATAGGTGGTGATGATGACGATGATGATGAGGATGATTTTTGGTGGTCCTGGGATCAAACCCGGGGTGCTGCGCCACTGAGTTACAGCCCCAGCTCTTTTTAGTTTTTATTTTGAGACAGGGGCTCCATAAATTGCCTGGCCTAGCCTCAAATTTTTGATTCTCCTGCCTCAGCTTCCTGAGTCACTGAGATTACAGGTGTGGACTATTGTTCCTGGCCCACATATGTATACTTAGTCATTTGTTTACATCAGTTTTGTTCACTGCTCTATCTTCAGTCCCTATAGTAACTGAAAATAACATACATGTTTTTTTGCATGGACAGTGTTGGTTATTATTAATTACTGAATAACAAGCATTCATTTGTTTTTTTATGTGGTCATGATTTAATTGGCATTGTTTCTTAAATTACACCTTGCTACCTTCTTAGCAAGGTACCAACTTGGATTCAGACCTTAACTCTGTCTTCAGTTACAAATGACTGTAAACCAATCTGGTACAAGAATTTCTTAGATTACATAAAGATAAGAAGTTATCTTTATGTAATTTTAAGGTATTAAAACCTCTTGAACATGTTCTTCTGAAACTTTAGGCTGAATGACTTTTCTGAAATGCCTTTCACTCAGGAATGGAAATAGATTTTAGAAATAGTTGTATTAATTTTAAACTGTTAGGCAGAATTGCTGCTGACTTCTATTTTCTGAGGCTAATATACTCTCATAGTTGTGAATATCATACTGAAGTTAGGAGGTTTAGTAATTAATTTAAATTTAAATATTCTAAAATATACTGGAATAATTGATCGTGTGCAAAAGTAGTTATTGGCTAATTTTTCCAAAGACAAATATAAATCTTCAGTTAAAGTTGAATGTATAAATGGGCATTAAAACTGCATAAAGGGAAACATCCTAACTTACTGCATTTATTTTATTTCAGGGCTGAACACAGTGAAATCACTTATAGAGTTGGAAGGCTATTAAGAACACAAGATGGGGACTCCTGGTTCTGGAAGGAAACGAACACCTGTGAAAGATCGATTTTCTGCAGAAGATGAAGCTTTGAGTAACATTGCCAGAGAGGTGTGTCTGGTAAACTCCTTCTCAACACCAAGTTACACAGATGAGAGTATTGTAAAAATGTGGGGGTGACATATAGATACTCATTCATTGAGCTAGTTTCAGAATGTTTACTATGAATAAGATATTGTTAGCCTCTAAAATACTGTATTAGAATAAGATATACTTAGATAGCTATTCACCTCACTTGCGTTAATTTTTCATTATATTTTGAGTTCAAGGTATTGTCCTAATGTATTTAAATTTATAATTAATCTTCAAGATTTAAACTTAGGGTAATTAATTAGAATGTTGGAGATGTAACTATTGAAATGCTCATTTGACTGTAGTTCCAAGATGTGCTATGTGAATTTTGACAGAAATAGTTCTTATTTGGTGCCTATTCAGAGTTTTTTAAGTTACTTATTTAAAAAAAAATATTTATTTTTTAGTTTTAGGTGGATGGACACAATGTTTTTATTTTATTTTTATGTGGTGCTCATACATGCTAGGTGAGCACTCTACCACTGAGAAACAACCCCAACCCCTTTAAGATATTTTTTTTGAAATACTGCAGTGGAATTTTTTTTTCCAAATCTTTTTTTTTTTTTTTTTTTTTGGTGGTGGTGGTACTGGATATTAAATTCAGGCAAGGCATCACATATTCCAGGCAAGCGCTCTACCACTGAGCTACATTCTCAGCCCTGTGGTAAAATTTTTTGTTTAATTCTTATAGTAGCAGAGCTTCTGGAGCATTGTTTGTTAATAATTCAGAAAAAGAAAATAAGAAGCAGTGTCGCCTGTTAAATTACTAGCAGCAATTCCTTATATAATGGATATTTAAGATAACTTCCACCTTGGATTTCTTAGCAAGATACCAACTTTGATTCAGACCTTAACTCTGTCTTCAGTTACAAACTGACCATAAACCAATCTGGTACAAGAATTGCTTAGATTAGCATTAAATTATATTCTTTTTGTGAGAGTTATTCCCATATCACTTTTTTGTTCTTAGTAAATAACTTATTTATTATTAATGCTGTTTTCTTTTTTTTAATTGATCTATATTTTTCCTCTTAAAAGCTGTTCAGTTTGCTTTTGAATTAGAAACCAAATTTTCTGCAGTCATATATAGCAAATAAAAAATAAAGGATTCTCCAAAAAAACCAAAACTAAAAACCAAATCTTGAAGAGTATATGAAGCAAAAGTTATTTAAAAACTGATAACAAAGTTGTGATGTTACTTTTTCCTTTAATACTCTAAAATTCTATATTTAAATGCTGATGTTTAGCCTTAAATTTTAAGTATACTTTTAAAAATTACATTATAGTTGTACAATAATAAGCCCATAGTGGGACTAATTTTGACATATTCATAAATTCATGTAACATGATTTTCTTCATTTCAATCCCCATGATATTACTTTAACAAAACTAGTTAAAGAAGTTCATGATACTACTTTTAACAAAATTACTTCAAAAAAAAATTAGATGAGACATTCTTAGCTTTTGTGTGTGTGTGTGTGTGTGTGTGTGTGTGTGTTGTGCTGGGGATGAAACCAGGACCTTATTCTTGCATACAAGCTTTATCACTGAACTATGCCCCAGTCTGATGACATGTTTTTAGATAAAAATACAAAAGACATTTAAAAGTGAAAAAGTAGATATTATGTTTCAATAATCTTAAGTATCTGCACAAATGAAACATTTTGGAAGCCACTTTGTTTTACTTAAAAATTGAAACTTCTCAAAATATTTACTTCCAAATTTGGAGGGCTAAATGAGAAGAAAATGCCAGGCTTCTTTTGTATTTTCACTAAGTATTTGACCCCCCCCCCCGTTTTTTTTTGACTGGTGCTGAGAATCAAACTTATGGCTTCATGTATTCAAGGAAAGTGCTTTACCACTGAGTTACACCTCAGCCTCCCTCCTTCCCCCTTTTTGATGTGATCCTTTCTTTAAAAAATTGGGTTGGAGTCTAATATCCAATATTGTTGAGTCCTTACTTTATGACAAATATTAACCTAAGCATTATTCATACATTATTTTATTTAACCCTCGAAAAATTCTGAGATTGGTTTTATTTTTATCTCCTTTTTACAGATGAGGAAACCATTGCACAGAAATAACTTTCCCAAGGTTACATAACTGGGAAATAGAAGAACTTTAGGTTTAGGTACATGAATTTTGGCTCCAGTCTGTGCATTTAACCACTTCCTATACTGCACTATTTAATTAATCTTCTCCAGCTCCCCCATAGCTTGTTTTTTTCATGACTTTGAAAGCATTTATGCATCTTGATTCTCACAAAAATCTTGATCTAGGTAAGATAGGTATTATTATTAGTGTTATTTACAGTTGAGGAATCATCTGAAGGAGAGAGCTAACTATCTAAAAGGTATTAGAATCTAGTCTCCGATTCAGCCATTTAAAGCTGTTGTTTATTCTACTCTACCATACTGCTTCCAAGAGAAGTGCACTTTGCAGACTTGTAAACATGGTTTTGAATTCTGGCTCTGGCTAATAATTGGTTGAGTAATTTTGTGAAGTCACTTCTCTTGACCTCAGTTTTCTCATCTGTAAAATGGAAATAATACTGTCTTCGAGTCTCGTAGGCTATTGTGATGATTAAAGGAGATAATGCCTGTGAACCTTTATTGTTAGGCTTGTGGAGGCTGTTTTTTTTTTTTTTGCTTATTAAAAAGAAATAGTGAAAGCTGGGTGTGGTGGTGTGCCTATAATCCCAGTGGCTCAGTAGGCTGAGGCAAGAACTTGTGAGTTTAAAGCCAGCCTCAGAAACTTGTGAGGACATCAGCAACTTAGCCAGACCTTGTTTCAAGATAAAACATAAAAAGGGGAGGGAATGTAGCTCAGTTTTTAAGCACTGCTGAGTTCAGTCTCCAGTACCAAAAGCCCCCCACTATAACCATGCTTTATGTCTTGAGACACTTTAAATACCCCTTTGCCTTGAATTAGGTATAGAAAATTGTTTCCTCTTCATTCCTATAATTCTAAAATAACTCCTTTAATCAATTCTTTCTCTTTTCTTTAACACTTTCATAGCCATTCATATGCTTGCACTCATACACTGGACGGTTGGCATTCATGGATAGTCCCTGATCCTTATTTTCTCCAGTGGGATCATCCCTTTCACCAAAAAATATTGACTTACATTAGAAATAAATAAAAATGAACAAAACCTCTACAACAATAAAAATGATGGCTTATTCTTTTTTTTTCTTCAGTTAAATCTTAAGAGTTTAGTTTGTCTTTCCTCACTTCAGGTTGTTTTTTGAAGTGGATAGGGAAGACCATAAATAAAGCAAAATAACCTTTTTTTTTCATCTTAACTAGTATCTGTTCAAGTTTCCATGCTTCTCAGTTAGCAAGAAAGCAGACAACCAGAGAGGATGAGAAGGAAAGGAAACAAAGAATATAAATGTGTTCCATATCTGGATAACTTTTATGCTAAAATATGTGGTAAAACACACATAAAATTTACCATCTTAGCCACTAAGTGTACGTATAGTTCTGTGGTATGAAGTAAGTTTACGCTGTTGTGCAACCATCACCACTGTCCATCTCTAGAACCCTTTTTATATTGCAAAACCTGAATGCGTTTAAAAAAGATGTTGAAGTGTTTGAAGTCTGTTCCCTGGAAGTAGGAATGTGGGTGGATTTAGGAGCCTTGCATGTCTGTGATGGGAACGTTGCTGTTTTGCTGGGGGAGCTCAGTCTTTTACAGTTTTTGGAGGTGTCAGAAGTTGTCAGCAAGGTCACTAGAATTATCAGAAGACCAATCTGAAGGCTTATTGGCTTTTAGTGAAAATCATCTGAAAGAATATATCTAGTGTATTGAATTGGGGACCTCTAGGCAGCTAGCCTCTGTCTCAAGAGGAGAAAGATAAGGGTGGAATGAAAGCCAGTTCTGTTGCCTTCCCATATTCAGTTTGGTGAATGTTTCTATGAGAAGAAATTGAAGCCTCTTGAAGTGTTTGCAAGCTTTTCTTCTTCTCCTCCTCCTCTTCCCCCTCCTTTTTTTTTTTTTTTTTGGCAGTGCTGGGGATGGAACCCAGGGGTTTGTGTATTCTAGGCCAGTGCTCCAAACTGAGCTACACCCCAACCCTGCAAACAGTCATTTGAAGGTGTCACTAAAGCCTGGAATTTTATTGCTTTCCTTGTTTTGAGCTGAAATTATGAAGAAATCATGTTTTATGTTTAAAACTTCTTCCAATGGAATTCATCAGAATGTTGTTTAGTTTTTGAACTGATGATCTGAGATTCCTTTTGGCTCTAAAATTCTGAGATTTCTTTTAAGATTCATGACTTACAAAAAAAAAAAAAAACTAACGCTAGGTGCACTGGTGCACACCTGTAATCCCAGTGGCTCAGGAGGCTAAGGCAGGAGGATCTCAAGTTCAAAGCCAGCCTCAGCAAATGGCTAGAAATAAGTAGTCAGTACTCAATGAATAATTATAGGTGCCAAGCTAGGTGCCAAGCAACTCAGCGAGACCTTGTCTCTAAATAAAATACAAAATAGGGCTGGGAATGTGGCTCAGTGATGTAGTGCTTCTGAGTTTGATTCCCTGCCCCCCACCCAAGAAAAAGAAATTGATGTTCATATGCACAGTTCTTTTAAATCTAAAGAATGAATGTCAGACATAGGAACTGATTATAATCTATAAGAACTGGAGTGTAGTTGATAGTGTCCAGAGATTTTTACATTGACCAGAAGATACATGTAAATACATTTGGAATACAAAAGTACTTGTGATAATAAGGAAGAATGGTAGCTCTATGGTTATATAACTTTTGTGGCTGCTGGAATGTTCTGGTTTCCTTTTTTTTTTTAAGTATATAATTCAGTGGCATTAATGACATTCACATTCACAGTATTATGCAACTATCACCCCATCACCATTATTGATTTCCAAAACTTTTTCATCACTGCAGACAGAAACTCTTAACTATTAAGCAATAACTCCCTCGTATTCACTTTTTCAACTCCTGGTAACCTTTAATCT